TAGATAGATAGATAGATAGATAGATAGATAGATAGATAGATAGATAGATAGATAGATAGATAGATAGATAGATAGAACAGACAGACAGTTGTCAGTAAAATAAAAAAGTTTAGGTACACCCATTAAGGCTTGCTTCTTTTCCTATGTCGGGACTTTTGTCCAACTGAGCTGAATAAAAGGCTCCAGAAGGCCAGAGGAATCCCCAATCTGGTCTCAAACATGCAGTAATAAATCATTTCTGGTAAATTTGTTCCAACAGTGTCCTCTGGGAGGCGTCATAACGCAGGTCGTGACTCAAGTTCTCTTACAGTTCCTTCTACAACTCAAGTCAACGGGTGGTTTTAAGCCCTACAGGAACAATTAGGGTCTTTTTTTTTTCCTAGGAGTGAAGATTCTGGACCTTGTAAAACAACCTGGAACACCGAGGATTTCGTATTAACTCTTCAATAAGACCGAAACCCAAAAAACATCTAACTTTAGCCTTATTAGGCCTTCCCGTGGCAACAAGTAGGACTCAGTAGCTTGATCTTAAAACTCTTGAACTAGGGATTTACACCCTTTTTACCAGTGGTCTTTGGCGGTCTGTTCACAGTTATGACGATATACAATCTTTAAAAAAGGGCTGTGTGTTTTTGCTCACTTTGCCCATCAAACAAGTGGTCCTGAAGGTGTCAAAAGTTTGGACAAACTGCATTTTTCCTGGAAGAACGTACCAAAATGCTGGGTTTTTTTCTCTCTCGGGAGTTTCAAATCAAAGGAAACAAAGAGTTTTTGTAGTTCAAAGTTTACTAGTTTGTTACTAATACTAAAAAACCTCCCACTTCACTGAGCGGGAGGTGTAAGAAGAGACGTTCCTCAACTGAGATCTTAGATCTTAGAGCTACAAAGGGTATTTATGGAGTGTCTAGTGATGTTTCACCATTTGCTTCCCCTTTTCCCCCAAAAAACAAAAGAGCCTTACGACTTCCGAGGGTTTCATTTTTATTATTTTTGAGCAGTTTACCAACAGAAGAACTCACGGACATGAACGAATATATTAATGAGCCTCTCTCACTCTACAGACAGTTGCCTTCAAGTGTTTTAAAACAGTATATACACACACAGTCGATACACAAAATACCTCACGACACAGTCCTGGACCTGCAGAGGGCGGGAGAGCCGAGCTCTTCCTTCCACGGAGGGGTTTTTTTTTGCCAAATTTGGGGGCCTTAAAAGGGTTATGTACACTTTTCCCTGCTCTCTTGGTTGAACGAGAAAGATTTCCTTCGTTATTCCCGAAACGGTCCGTCGGAAAACAAGCGGTCCCGCTTTGAGACCGGATGGTGTCCTTGTCTCTTTCCTGCCTTGTTCGGGAAAAACGAGGGATCCTTGAAAATTCCTTCGGATAAAGTGACACAGTAATGGATTTTTCAAGTTCTCTTCTACATATACGCACACACACACACACGCACTCACACACACACATACACACACGTGTATAAAGAGGGACTCTCCTGGATTCCGAATTAGCTTTCAGCCTCCGTTTTTCCAGCTCCACTAACAGAATGAGAAGCGTTGGGATTTTTTATTCCAAACACAACAGGTCTGACAGCGAGTCGTGCGACACAGCTCGTCGCACAAAAGGAAAATCGGGACGCGGCCCTGTGCTCCAGCTTGCGCTCGCTAGAAATTTTGAACAGAAGTCTAGACAGAAGAAAAAAAAAATAGGCGTGCAGAGTTTTGGAAGACACGAGCGTTCCTCTAAAATCTGATTGAGCTGCTTCGTAGGAAGTGAAGTACTCCCACTTCTTGGGAGCATTTCCCAAAAAGAAGGCCATTCCCAAGCCAGCCTGTTTGTTCCATCACCTGTCTACAGCTTCCTGGCTTTGGAGAAAGCAGTTCGGGAACTCCCCTTTCAATCCTAGTTTCGTTAAATCGTCAAATGGTCAGCGAGCGTCAGCCAAAAACCGATTCGACATGTTTAAAAAAACATGGACGGGCGCAGAGAACACAAAAACGTACCCGTTTCTGCCCTTAACCTCCTGAGACTCTGCGCCCTCATATTAGGACATGACATGTTTACGTCTCCATACCATGATACTTCCTTTTTCTTTGGACTTTGATCTCTTGGCCTCATAGCAGACGCTATTAGACACTAATGATTTAAATCCAAAGTAAAAGTTTTAGACATTTTCAACCAATCAGGTCCTTAATGTGTAATTAAAATTTTGGAAATAAGTCATTTGGACAGTCAGAACCAAATTACAGAGAAAGCAAATATATAAACGCACATTTTAGATATAAAGATAAACCCACTGAGCCTAAATGAAGAAAGTGTAGACAAAGTGTAGTCTTACTTATCCCAGGTATATTGAAGAAAATAAAAATGCACAGCAAATAAATGCTGGGTTCTCAGGAGGTTAATCAGTCGGCCAAAGCGAGCACGTTTTCCCCGCCTGATTTTTTGTCGAATCACTCGGAATTGGCGTCCGATACAGACCAGTTAGCGTATCGGGCCCCTCAGAAATAGCACCACAAGCTGTCCAGAGAAGCGACTCTTCAGTTCCTGCTCCCGTATCTACGTAAAACTTAACAAAGAAACATCCGTCCCTGCACACTCAATGTCCCGCGAGTAGAAAACAGAAACGGCAAACTACTCCATAACCGCGTTTAGCTCTACTGGAAAGGTCTTTTTTGTTTTTTGTATTTCCTCATTCTCTCTCTTTCTCTCTCTCTCTCGTAAAAAGGTAGTTTTATGTTAAGTGCAGTAAGCGACAGCTACATCTGGATCCGTGTTCGGACCACGACGTGGGATGATTTGAGAGTTCTTTGGTAACAACTCTGAGCAGACGCGACGGTTAAAAAACGGTTTGAGTTCCCACGAGGACAAAGGATGCTTTTCTTTTCTTTTGTTGAGCGTGTGAGAAAGAGACTAACATCCATACCGGATACTTAAGAAGGAAAAAATAATTAAAAAAACATCTATTCTTGCATCCTCTCCTCTGTAGTTTCTTCATTTTTTTTTTTACAGTCTTCTTTTGTTATACCTCTCCTATAAAAACCTGATTTTCTTTACTGCCTTTGCCCCCTTCGGTAATCTAATGTCAGGTCCTTTTATTTACCGTAGAAGACAACTGTTGCTCATCTTGCCGCCGTCATTTAGCTTTAATATTCTTTAAATCACACTGTTGTCCTTTTATCTACCTCGGCTAAACTATAGCTAAACGTCTGGTTTGATATTCACCAGCTACTTAAAAAAGGCACTTTGCACGTTTTGCCCACTTAAAAAAGGAAGTGATTGCGGCAAATATCAATTTGTGTAGCGGCGATCTAGATGAAACAACGGGCTCTAAATGGATCCGGCTGCTTGTTGGCGATGTGAATGAGTCGTTTTCACTGTAACACATGTTGAGCTGAATGTGGAACATTAATGCCACACAGGCATTAATGTTTCTGGCTAAAAGATTTTAAATCTGCGACTAAAACCAAAGTTAACTCCCACAAAAACTGCATATGGAAGGAGGATTCCAGCATGATTTGAGGTGTTTCCTTAATTATTTTTGTTCAAACTCTCCCCTTGGAAGTTTGGCAATGCTAAGCAGAAAACAGTAGAAATTTCAAATGAGTCACTTTAAAAAATAATTCTAAGAGAGTTTATTTAAATATACTGATTCTAGAATAAAGAGTAACTATACAGTGTGTAAAGACGTAACACAAATCTCTCTGGGCTCCACATTGGAACAAAATACTAAACTCCAGAGGCTAACGTTTGACAATAACTATGCTAGCATGCGCACGTTTAGCTAGTGACACATTTAGCATAAGTTGGTTCAATGTTTTAGCATCAGTGATTCAAATGTTGGCTCAGTACAGCACAGAATGAAAGCTATGTCATCAGTAATACAAGCATTGGCTATTTTTTAAATTAATTTTCATAAAAATATAGTGTTTTCTCTGATTGACAGAGGTGGTGGAGAAGAACCGAACCAAGCGGGAGGAGGCACTTTGGAAAGAACATGTAGCAAATGGCCCATCCTGCCAGTTCAAAGCGTTGCTTGCAACTTATTTGGATCTTTAAACTTCTCAGTTGTGCCATTTCTTGACCTTCCAAACGCTGACCTAATGATGCCAAACGAGAGCTAAACTTTGCTTTAAAATCCCTGCAGTTTTGATTTGTTAGCATTTTAGGAACTGGCGCCGTTCCGTATTTCAATGCCTTCAGGTCTGGTCTCTGTGAGGTTGTCTGCTCATTTGTATGGCAAATAAGGTTAGTTTCTTGTACAATTTGACTGCGGAGAGGATATTATTAAAGGACGCATTTCAACAGCTCCAGAGATTTGGCTTAGGTTTGGCTAAAGGTTTGTAAAATTAGATTTAATAAAAATGAAATGTTATTTTTCTTCACTAAAACACAGCTGCACTCTTTAAATAAATAGCTAAACGTTCCCCAAAAACACTTGAAATCATGCTGGAATGTTGTTCGATTCCAGTTTATATTTAGCCTCCGGTGAAAAATTTGAGCTGATCTGGCGAAAACCATTGATGACGGGATGTTAAAGAAGACATTGGCGTTCTGGCCTTATATCCACAGCAATGTTTAGGGGGCAAAATGAAGTGAAAGGAAATCTCCAGCTGGGAGTGTGGCTGGACATGCACGTATCCTGATTTAGTGTCCTACTTGCTGAGCGAGCCTGAGAGCTGTGGCTGGAGACGGATGATACAAACAACCGAGGTAATGCGGTAAGCGCTCCTTATAGTCTGAGCTCTTGGCGTTTATGTGGCGGCCGAGCGGACCTAAATAACTCGTGATGGGGGGGGGGTAAATTGAAACTGAGAGGCCGGCGGCCGCGGCCTTCAGCACCAGCGGGGCTCCTCGGCCCGACCCTGTGTCCGTAAAAGGTCTGGTTTTTCACCGCGGTTTTGGCGTGCTAGGCCTTTCCTGCCTTCATGTACGTGGGGATGGTGCCTCGCTGGGTCAGGCCCTCGAAGCGCTTGTACGTGTAGTTGAGAAACACCCAGTCCTTCGATTTGAAGTCAGGTTCCGTCGCATTGGCTGTGAACAGCAAAAAACAAACAAAAAAATACACAAAAAAACATGAGAAGCCAGTAGTTGTAATTTCATAATACATTCTTCCTGCATTCATTAAAATGTTTGCTAAAGTTCCCATTAATTCCCATTGCCCCTCAGTTTTTACATTTCTTTGTTACTTTATATCACATATATTTCTTCCTCATTTAATCTGTTATTCTTGTTTTCATCATTTTCCGGTGCATTTATCTATGTAGTATTTCCTCGTTCACTTAAATACTTTGTGTATCTTCAACTCAACATTTTTTTTAATTGTTTTTCCTAAGATATACTTACTGCTCAGCCCTTTTCCTTTTACATTATCTCCCACTATGTGTACTTTCAGTCCTCCATCGACTGCATACTTTGGTGAAATGTGTAAATTCACCACCAGAAGTCACTAAAACCTTCGGCAAGATTTAGACTTAATTATGGATGTTTGCCTCATCTGGTTTTTCCAACATTTAATGATGCAAACCTGGCTGTAGGATGTCTGATTCAGGGAAGTCATCAAAGTTTGACGTGTCGTCGATGCTTTTGATCTCGATAGAAATGGCGGCCGGCCTCTCCCTGCGAACAGAGAAAAAAAGGGTATTTTTTCTCTCCTTTGCTTTTGTTTAACATCGTGCGTAAATAGCCTTTCATGCTAAATTCTGTACCTGATGTGCTCCCAGTCCACAGACTCGAAGAACTGATGGCTCTTAATCTCCTCCACGCTCACAGCTCCGATTCTGTTCTCAGCGTCTGTGCAGTACCTGAAATCCACAGGCGGGGGCTTACTGACCACACAATCTCATTCTTCAGTAGCCACAGCTGAGTCGGACATTACTGAACCATGATGGTCCAAGCCGTCTTACTGAGAGATCTAATAAGGTCTGAGCACCTACAGACAAATGAGCCGCTATCCAGCATGTGGGGGTTTTGCTAGCTCTGGGTGAACTTTACCTTTGGCCTTTTATTTCCACACGGAATAAATAAATCCCCCTGCTTGTGCTTCTTTTACTGTTGCGATCGGTCAGAATGTCCAAAAGTCAGAGCAAAAACTGCATTGCACCTTAATATGAGGTCTTTGGCCCTCTCGGATATGGGGACTTCAGGGGGGAAGACGAGAGTTTCCTTCCAATTCATGACCTTCCGGTACGTCTCCTGCGGCGTCTCCGAACAGAAGGGCGGGTAACCTGCGAAGAGCCAGCAAACACTAAACCACACTCCGTTCCTTCCGTCGCTTTTTCTACTTTTTACCAGAAATCGGCAGCTTTTTCTTTGATCCCGTCCACCGACTTGCCATTTTTTAACATTAAAAAAACGATCAAATGAATGTTGATATTGAAATCAATTACGCCTCCTTATATAGATGGACGCTAATTCACAATAACTGAGACCAGCTGACACCGGCACACCACTGAGTGCTTTCACTATCAACTGGAACAGCCTGTTTACTAGGTTTGTCCCGATCCAAAATTTAGATCTGATCTGCCGCCGATATTTAAAAAGAAAAAAGCATTTCGGCCAGCAGGAGAAAATGCAGATCCAGACTCCCGATCCAGTTTTTTTTTTAAGTCTGATTCCACACGAGCATTAGCATCTCTAACCCACAGGCCTGTGTCCTAACCATTAAGTTGTTCTCAGAGTAAATCCCTGTTCAACATGAGTCTGACAGCTAAGTAAGTAGATAAATAACTTTAAACTTTAATACATGCTCTGATAGGCACATATCGGTATCGGCCGGTATCGGATCAGATCGGAAGAGCAAATACAATATCCGTATCGGATCAGAAGTGCCAAAAGCTGGATCGGGACATCCCTAATTCCAATAGAAATCACATTCCTCTGTTCTGCTTTCCCCCACTAGTCAAAAATGCTTTACTCCGGCAGCTCTTAACCTTTAACATCCCCGGTCTTGCTGAGCACAAACCTGGGAGGAGGCGAGTGGCTTTACTTTTAGCAAAGGCTTTTGAAGCCTTTGCTGAAACTAGAGCGCCTTTCAGTTTTTTCCCCGTTTTCAGGGAATTGAGAAACGGAGCTCCGTTCATTTGGCGCCAGACGGGCTCTTACCGATGAGCATCTCGTACATGATGACGCCCAGGGACCACCAGTCGCACAGCTTGTTGTAGCCCGTCTGCATGAAGACTTCGGGCGCGATGTAGTCGGGCGTTCCCACGGTGGAGTAGGCCTGAGGGGGGAGCACAACAGGGAGGGTTAGGCCGCCGCTTTGAGGAAATGCCCCGCGCAAATGTCGGCTTCTGACAGACGTACCAGCTGTCTCCTGTTTTTCTTCCAGGTTTCTGCTTTCCTCTTGGAGTTCATGTTTTGAAACGCTGAAGGGATAAAGGAGAGTCTGCGATTAGCTTCTTTTGTTTCACCCCTAAAAAGGCCTGAATTTCCTCCAGGATCTTTTGTTGAGCTCACAGAAGTCGCTGGGCGGGTTGTGCGTCAGGTTTCGGTAAAATTCGGTGCGGTGAGCCTTCTTCAGGCCCGTGCAGAGGCCGAAGTCGGACAGTTTGACGTGGCCCTGTGAGGAGAGAAACAGCCTCCGCGTGAGCTAAACCTGTTTCTCTGCTTTTTCTCTGCCCTTCTGTGTTGCCCGACCTCTCACCCTGGAGTCCAGCAGCAGGTTGTCGGGCTTGATGTCCCGGTGGATGAAGCCCAGCTGGTGGATGGAGTCGATGGCCAGGACGGTTTCGGCTATGTAGAACTGCGTGGCCTCCTCGGACAGGGTGTCCTTCTTCATCAGCAGCGTCATCATGTCACCTAAAGGCCCCGGGTCAGAGGTCAGAAACGGTCAGGAGAAAAACTTGTGCCGTTCTGCCGCCTGGGCGCAGACCTCCAGGCAGGAACTCCATGATGAGGTAGAGGTTCCTCTTGTCCTGAAAGCTGTAGAACATCTTGACCACCCAGGCGCTGTCCGCCTCCACCAGGATGTCCCTCTCCGCGCGGATGTGAGCCACCTGCCGGAAGAGGAGGTGAGCAATGGCCTCCTTAAAGAAGAGCGGAAAGTGGGGAAAAAAAACGGTTCTACCTGTTCTTTTTCCAGCATGTCCGCTTTCCTCAAAATCTTCATGGCGTAAATGTGACCCGTGTCCTTCTTCTGAACCAAGCGAACCTGAGCGGAGGGTAAAAAAAAAATGTCCTTGACTTCACTGCTGAAAAAACTACACCCATAGTAAAAAAATTAAATAAATGAAAATGGGTAAGCCTGATTTTTCCGCCCCAAAATAAGCGGGAGAAGACAAAACGGACTGAAATTCTCGGCGACGTACCTCCCCGAAAGCGCCGCGTCCGATCACCTTCAGGGACTCGAAATCGTCCAATCCCAGCCGCGTCCTCTTCAGCCGCAGAAACTCCGTCTCTTTTCGGGCGTGCTGTGAGCGGCGCATGGCCTTCTGCGGTGGGCCAAAAAGCCGAGGGGTTAGCAGAACCCAAACCAGTGAGGATAAAAAAATGTAAAAAAGCTCCGGAACCACCAATCCCCCCCCCCAGCAGTATACTGCACCTCCTCGTCCGGTAGACCCTCCTCCTCCATGGCCTTCTCCAGCTTCTTCTGCCTGCAAGTGGAACGAAAAAGCCTCTGAGAACAACACAGAAACAACTACAACAACAACAACAAAAAACCTCTATCCAAACGGGGTGGTTATGGTGGGTGAGAGGAGCTCCGGGCTTTTCTCACCTCATCTCGCGCTCCTCGTGCTGCGTCAGCAGGGTGCTGTAGAAGTTCTCCAGGGTCAGCTTGGCCACGGTCACCCTCTCCCGGGTGTGGTTGCTCATGGGAAGGGCAGCGGCCGTCCCTCCCGTCATGGCCATACTATCCTGTAAAAAAAGGCCGGGGCTCTGTTATATCTTTGTATGGAGGGGAAAAGATATCGGCCGGGAATCGACACTAGACGAGTAGATAAAGTTGTGGCTTTTTTTTTTTAGAAAGAAGGTTCTCAAAGCTTTTGAGTGTATGATGATGCCTCTGGTCTTATGTCAAGAACCTAATAAAAAAAAAAACACATTATTTGTGTTAAACAAGTAAATTGAAAAGGTTTAAAGAGGAGAGATGATGTCAGTGTCCCTGTAGGAAGGTCCTTTACCTCAAGAGTCAATAAATATGGGGGAAAAAGCATCCATACAGAAATTCTGAGGAAGTGTTGCATATTTATAACCACTTTGTAAACGAAGTGATACATTTGATAATGTGTCACTTCATAAAGACACGTTTATACTTTATTTACTTTGTTCCAAGCTTTCTATACTTTGTAATACACAGGTAATCCATGAGCACATACACAGGAAGATGGTAAAAAATATTCCTAGGATGCTATCCTTCTGTAAACGGGGAGGAAGTTCATTTCCAGACGTCCAAGTCAGAAATTAAGTTAGTTCAGCACGTCAACACAAAACTTTTTCTTTCTCTTTCAATGTGTCGGTCTCAGAAGAAGCTATCATGTCAAACGGAGGCTTTCCTGATATGCGAGTAACCAAGCCCTTAAATTCAGCAAAGAAAAAGAAATAAAAAACGCTTGTGTGGTAAAAACCAAAAGACAAAAGTGTATCCTGTATGTGGCGGTCAATGAAGATAGTTCCCTTCCCGTCTGTGGATGGTGAAACATAAAAGTTGTCCACCAGCCTGAACCAGCTGTGTGTTAAATCAGTGTTTCCAGAAGGGTGTTATGGGCCACTATAAAATAAGAGAAAAAAAAACTTCCTCTGATGAGAAGCGCAGCTTTTAAAAGCTTCGGCGCAAACCTTTATCGGTCATAAAGTTACCGGAGATGCCACCCGGTCCCTAAACTGCGACAAAGATTTTGAAGTGAATGTGACATTTTACAGCCAGTCAATGTGGTAAATATGCACCAATCACGGCTTTGATAATCGTCTGAGGCCTTTCCCCCATTGTAACTGTCAGTTGCCTATAAAAGCCAATAAAACACTTGTGAAAAAGCCAATGCGGGGCGGAATCTCAGCCAAGGCCTCGGCCTGTGACGTGCCAGGAGGAATTCCTTTTAAAAGTGTTCGCCGAGAGGTGAGAAGTCAGATCCCCGCTAAAACAATATTCCCTTGAGCCCTGGAAAAAAAGTCATATGCTGGGTGGCTCGTGGGTTTTATTCCAGGAACTAATCGATGGAACCTCCAGACACTTCCCAGCGCGCATTCCTTTAAGTTACTCCTTCATTTCCTCCTCTTATTTTCTACAAAAGGAGACGCCGGCTAGTGTTTGTGGCGGAAGAGAATATTGGGACTCATGGGAAAGGTTCACTTCAGCTGTCAGTCCGGAGGGGGAAAAAAGAACCTGTGTGGACACCGTGTATCTGAGAGGTCGTTTTTTCTATGAAGGCAACTCACTGACGTGTAGACTTCGATGTGTAGACCTCACAGAGTCCGGTAACAAAGCATATCATCCAATAAAGACGATGAGATCCAAACAAAAGCACTAAGAAGGGGAAGTTTAATTTCCCTCTCTAATTAGCAGAATAGAATATGTTTGGGTGGGGGGGTACACTGACAGCTCCATTAACTCACAAAGAAATCAAGCGGCCCTGCGGCCCAGAGATAGGAGCCATGTTTCGTCTAGTCAGTGGCCCCTTTTCCGCCCCCCCGAAAACAATCCCTCAACAACAAGCTGCTCACTTCCTGACTTCTGAGGGAAAACATCTGAATCATTGTGGCCAGCCGCTCAGGTTTCTGCTGCCTTGTATGGTCTTGTGCATGTGCGCCTGGAAGGCCAGGTGAAACGCCACCCGGGATCCCGGTCCTGATCGACCCAGAACCAGTCCGCCAAGTTCAACCCCGAGGTCCGGCAGCGCAATCAGAGCGCTTTATCTCAGACCCTGCGGGCTCCAGCCAGTATGTCAGAGGTCACGGCAGCCGGAAAGAGGCGGGGCAGACACGGGCGGCAGACGTTTGATCGGAATCCACAGACAACCCAACAACAGCCTCATACAAGCTGTCAGCATGGTGGAGGAGGGATGCTGATGCGGGCTGGTTCTACAGACAGAAGGACCTGACCGTTCCCCAGCTGTAGAATGCTTGGCTTTGCATTATGACTGCATACTTTCAGTGCCGTAAAATGACACTTGTGTTTAAAGATAATCAAAACAGGAATGAGTTCAAGATTATCCCTGCAACATCGATGGAAGAGCCTGTTTTTCAGCTACCGTGACCTTATCCATTCGAGTTATTATTGACCTGTTAATATTACTGTTACTAATATAACCCCAAAGCGAGAACATCAAGTATCTGAGGGGAAAAGTCTGTCTGTTGAGCTCTGATCTAATCTCTAATATCACTCTGAATAAGCTGTCTAATGTTTTACACTCCCCTGAAGAAATAAACCCAAAAAAATCCTATCATCCTCCGTTTCAAAGGGAGAACATCTTAAAGAAAACCCAGTTCTCGTTGTATGCCGTGCACGCCTCTGCTGTTTGCTCTTCCTGCCCCCACCAAAGTGGAAAATAAACCATTAGCTTTAAACAGTTGCATTAGCTCAGAGCCAGACAGGCCTGTTAACACCGCCTGAGGGGATCAGTTTGACTTGAGGCCGGCCAGATCCACCCCATAGCAAAACAAACAACGCCGCGCCACTCAGGCACTTGCAAGGAAGGCATTTAAAAATGCAGCAAGTCCACTTAGAAAACTCTGGCATGCGGGCCGAAACGGTCCGTCAAAACAGAACTGGACAAAAGGCTCCGCTTCCAAAAGTGTTACCAGCACTCCAGCTCTATTTCTACAAAAACTATGACAACTAATATTCCTTAAAGGTTTGTTTCGGCGTGGATAATAAATATAACCACAATGTCCGGCGTTGGCATCTTCCGATTATCCAGAGTTTACCTTCACAGGTGGATAACAGCAGGAGGAGAAATCCTGTAACTGTAGCCGGCCCAATGAATATCAGAGTGGGAAGGAGTCTTATTCCTTAGGCTTTCATTTAATAACAAAAGAAAACCCAGGCAGGATATCCTGAAAAAAACAAGGTGGACTTTTCAGTTAGGCTGTGAAATTCTCCTGTTAGTGAGCTGACCGGCTCACACTCCGCCCTGTCAGGACTGTACAGGAAGCCCTTTCCGCTGTGAATGAAAGGGCTCAGTCATGACGCCAGTGTGAGCACACATGTGCTCTTACACATACACAAACACACACACACACACACACACACACACACACACACACACACTCATTTCATTGCCTGAACACCTTAACATTTAGAGCTTTTTTTTTTTCTTACAGGCCAACTAAAAGCTATAAAGTCAGTTGAACCTTTTCATAACAAAGAAGCTAATATCTATTTCACAGTGTCCTCAAAGTTATACAAAAAGCTCATTTGCTTGAGGTGTAACACTGTTATGAGTAATGCCTGTTTTTGTTGCCATCCTTTTAACAGACACGGTGTGTGTGTGTCCACCTCCGGCGATTAAAAAAAAACCCTTAAAAGGTTTAATTTAGCTCATGTCAAAAAATATTTACACTGTCAAACCTCTTTAAGACTGATAACAGTACATGCTGAGATACTGTATCTTTATTTTTCCAAATTCGGTGTGATACTATGTCGTTGCAGCTAGCTATTTGCTATTATCTCCGGCAGGTTTAAATAATAGCTGCAAATACATTTAAGACAGCATTTTTTTAAAAAGGTTTAGTTTCTAGCTAAATTTGAATTTTTTACTTACCTCCGTGTCCGGCTCCAGAGTAAATTTTTGGCGTGCCGCCGGCCCCCGTTCAAGAAGAAATAAAGTGTATTTTTTTTGTTCCTGCCTAATATTTAGGCAGTTTAAGGCTAGAGGCACCAGTTATTGGCTACCCGTCAGCGGGACCTATCGGGATGAACAGTAAACATCGTCGATATCAGCGCCAAATCATAACAAAAGTCCTCTGACGTTGACAGCCACCCTCCTAAAAATTCATTGGAAAATGTCTAACTGTCCTCATCTGTGCCCCCGTCGCCAAAAATGTTGCACTTCAACCGTCTTTATCGCTACAAAATATTAAATAAGCGCCCCTGCTTCCTGAGACCGTCGGGCTCATCAGACGTTCTCACAACGCAACGACGTAGACCTGAGTGACGTTAGCGGAAGCCAATCACTACGGATCTAAATTACTCTCTTTGCCGTTGACCAATCCCGTTTAGGGAATGGACCGGAATGATGGTTGTACTGACCAATGAAAATCGCTTCACCTTCCTGCATGAGTGCAGGTTCACTTAAGTTGGCTAGCAAGCTCTTACAGCTATAAAGAATATACTGTACTATCTACAACTGTGGGCTGTATTACATCACAGTAGAGGCTGTGCTTTTTGCAGACCCTTACTAAAAATAGCTTATTTGAAGTGCTTTTAATTTCTTACATTTAGCAAAGGAAAAATAGAAAATGAATCAATTCAAATTGTAGTCTGCTCAGTATTTGTAGGTCACAAATGAGTGACATTGACTAAGAGATGAACAGAACCCATTTTAAACAAGCATTTTAGTGAGAATATGTCCACTACACAAATCTCAGAGCAAAACCTCTAAGGGCATCCTATGGTTGCACAAAGGACCATAAAGAGACTATAAAATAGATTAAAAAAGGATTGATAAGAGTTGTGTCTTTAGATTTTAAAAAATCTTTCAGCTTTGGCAACATCTGGGACTTTTATTCTAACAATTCAATTACCTCCACTTTGACACATTTGGTAAAGCTTTCAAGCAGACACTGCATTATTTCTTAGCGTCGACAAATAGATCTGAACAAAAACAGTGAGAGAAAAACCGCTTGCTTCTGTGTCTACTAGGGGTGGGACGGTTCACAAAATCCACGGTTCGGTTCGTTTCACGGTTTCGTGGTCACGGTTTTCGGTTCGGTTCGGTATATGGTGATTGTTAGGAAAATCTATTCCGTCTTGTATAGTCAGGTTAAAACTAAGAATGATGATCGTTAATATTTATTGATATCGATACTTTTATCGATACTCCTTATCGATCCGAGTCTTTATCGATACCACTATCGATAATTTTCTGTTATTTGGTGGAAAGACGATGCAACAATATTTAACAAATAAATAATTGTATTTTAAATTAAATGTAATTTTTAATAAATGTTGGCATCAGTAGTTTAATTATATATTCTAAAAATAATTAGAGCAATATACAACTGTATTACTCATGTTTCTCGCCAAAAACTCAATTTCCCTTTTCTTTTCGTTACACTTGAACGCATCATGATAACCTAATTGTCGTTTTACTGAGCCAATCTGAACACATCATCACGCAGCACGTCTGAAACTTTATTTACTTTTCAAGCTAACTAGCTTGTATGCTGCCGATTACAACACAGATTTCACAATTACTATTGTAATAAAAAAAAACGACCAGACTCGATAGTGGTATCGATAAGCCCAAACGTTATTGATTTTTGGGTTTTGAAAAAAGTGGAACCAGGTCCTTGATAGAACCGGGTTTCGATCCCCATCCCTAGTAAAAACTGAAAGAAAAAAACAGTCTGACATTTGATACATTATTGTGACAGTGTTAGGTTAAAAGTAGGTGAGATTATGGCATTGCAAGAGAGGAAACAGTGCTAATTCCAACATGTGCTTCCCTCTAAATGCAAACTGGTCCATACAGCAGACCTAGTAGAAACTGCTTTTGGCGCGTCAGATGATTTTTATCGGCTACGCTGCTTCTCTTCTTCTTCTTGTTTACTACTGGTGGTTGACTTTGGGTGCAGTAGCGCCCCCTTCTGCTCTGGAGTGAACACGCTTCCCTCTGAGAAAAAGGAGCAGTGCATGAACCGTGCGGTACACACGCGAACCGAACCGAGACAGTCGAACCGAACGGTTCAGACGGTTTTCAGAAACCGTCCCATCCCTAGTGTCTACCCGTCAGTGCTCCTTCATTTCCTTGTATCCATCCCAAAGGTCTTTAGGACAAAGAACAGGTGTCTCGAGGGGGAGAAATGAACCTGATTACCTCCTAAAACCTCAGATAATAAAACAGTGGCACTGACAACCACGTCGTCTTGACCAAAGCCCAGCAGGGAGCAGTTCGGAGTGGATTTTAGAGTCCCTCTGTCGTAAATCTCCTTATTTGGATGGGTTGTGTGCTTTTACTGTAAGGGCCATGATGTCAACAGGCAGAGCGGGTGGGTGTATCCAGCTAACACGTCTGGGTGTGGTGTCCAGCAGACAAGGCTGTTTTTATATTTCTCACATCAATGGGGCCCACTGAGATGTGACATGGCACCTATATTTAGATTTGGGTTGTAAAGTCTCTGGCCTGCAGCCTATGAGACACAGAGTTCAGCCTCCCAAAGATTCAGAGCCGTGGGCTAAAATCTTTACCGACATCAAGGCTGGCAAACATAATATTTGACGGGGATAGAGATGACTGGAGCCATTTTTTTAAAGTCCATATTTGAGTCAATGAATGATTTCCCTGTTTGTGCAGTGTTTTATGTTGTAAGGGGAACAAGGATTAACATTTAACAGATTTTGAGAAAACACATATCTATTTTTTTTTCGTGTCATCATCTGTTCAGTTCTCCTTTTTATCCTCCCAGAATTCTGCTTTTTATGGGCTATTTACGGCCTCAAAAAGATTACGAAACATGAAGAACCAGAGTTTAGTTCCTCTTAATTCTTACATTGCATTTTTAAAGCTATATATATCCTAAAGTCTTGATAATGGGCGGGGGGAGTATTTTGTCAAGTTTTTAGAATAATAATAATAATAATAATGATGTAGATATTAGCTGTAATCTGTGTTTGTTTGTAGCACAGAAAATTATATCTGTAGGTGTTGCTGGGCTTGTGAATTCACCACAGAATCATTTTTCAATTCAAATCCCATCTGAGAGTCTAAGGTTCAGTACTGACATTCGGCTTGGCTAACTCCACAAAAAGATGACTCAAGATTTTCTGAATCTTTCCATAAAATCCATCAACTGCAGAAGATAGAACTCTACATTCTTCGCGGTTTTACATTATGAAACATTTTTCTGCGATCCGACACGATTTGCAGACACATTTAGTGGCAAGGACTGAGTTGAGCAGATCACTCTGAGGGGAAGTCAACAGGTGAGCTTATGGATGATTTCTTGTAAAAATCCAAATTTTCAAAGGGGAAGAAAGACCTTTGATGACCGAACAGGGCTTTTCTTTTAGATTGTAATCCCCCACCGGAGTGGCTTGTTAAATGGCGTGGAACACCAACAGATGGCTGGCTGATTCATACTCAAAAATTAAAAAGGTTACATTGTAGGAAATTTGTCCAGCAGAGGTGAGTCAGACGGCTTATCAGCCAATCAGGAAGCCCTGATCCTGGCAGAGAGGAAAAAGAAAAAAACAAACCAAAAGAAAACATTTTATGAGAAAGATCTGGGAAGGTTTGCTCCTCTTATGTTTCATTACATTACTGTCCTTTGACAAATCAAGCTAGTTTTAACAAGTTTCCAAATAGGTACCACTCACTCTTTAGACCTTTTTGTTTCCCTCACCCTCATTTTCGATTGTTCAAAATGCCCATTTCACGACCACCGATGTGGATGCTAAGGCATGTGGATCTTCACCTGTTTCTCATTAAATTAAACCAAAAGACCAAGAAGTTTCGGTCCAACTGAATCTGCTTCTTGTTGAAAAATGCATAATCTTTTCTGGAAAAGAAATGGCCTTTAAGCGGACATTGTTTCTGCATCCATGCTGCCATTACAGATTCTGAAGGCTGACCACATTCTGGATGCTTTGGTCTGTTTAGATTGCGTCTCCATGTCCTGACTGTCCATCCTGGATGCCTTTTTGTGGGTTTTTTTTGTGTGTTTATTGTTACATTGATGATCTTAACCCTAGTCATAGAGGGTTCCACATGCAGTGCTGCATGATGGAAGGAGGCAGGCGTCAACCTCAGTTACTTTTTATGGACTAAATTTGCCCTAAAGTGCTTAATAATGTTGTTTGAATATTTAATGGCTGAAGAAAAAAAATGCCTCAGACAATCACTGTTTTTAAAATTCGGATTTTTGAAACCCTGCGGCAGTTCTGTTCCAGTGTCGCCTTAGTTTTTTTTCTTGCAGTCCTGTCAAATTAAAAATCAGTGTGTTGGCATCACACTGGAATTGTGAAAAAATGTGTGTAAATGTCAGAATCGTACTTTCTACAATCGCAGTTCTAACTTTTCAAACCATCTAAACTTTTTAAGATTTGGGCTTTCAGCAGAAGGATGTGTGAAGAGCAACTAAATATAAATAAGTAAATAATAATGTGGCTATTTTCATCATCTTGACACATGGTGCCTTTACTAAAATAATAAAACAAAGTCAAATCTTTATGAACATTAAATATAGTACATATGGATGATCGATTGTTCTGGAGGGAATAAACCTTAGACACACACATTTATTGGTGAGGAGTAAGAAAATAATTCTTCAAAAGTGAATACAGAGAGGGCACATTTCCTGACAAAAGACACAAATGAAACACATGAAAACATACAAAACCGTCTAAACTCAATGACCACCGGGGGTTATTTCCTGAACTTGTGATGAAGAGAAAGCTCTGCAAACAAAAATAGAACGCACAGCTGTGTGTTTGCGGCTTTATGGCAAACGGATTTAAGGGCACAAACATTTACACGTAGTCGAATCTGAGTGAAACTTTATGTACAAATCCAGTCCTGTTGAATTTTCCACTTGTCTGAGCCTCTGAATGAGAAATCATTCAGAATGAGGCGTTTTTCGCTCCAAACGCACTTTCAGAGGTTCAGGTCAAATCTGTCCGGGAGTGCTTTTGGTCAGGACTCCGGGGGCTGGTTGGGGGCTCCGTTGCGGGTGCGGAGCTGAGACTGAGCGATGTCGGCCAGCGCATTCTGAATCTTCTCCAGCAGCTTGTCGCCGCTGCAGACCACCTCCTCCAGGCGGGCGGCCGCGTCGTGGTTCTCCTCCTCCAGCTGCCGCAGACTGGCCGCCTGATGGGACCAAGAGGGCGGGTTTCAATTCAATTCAATTTTATTTATATAGCGCCACATCACAACAACAGTTGTCTCACAGCGCTTTCCAAACAGAGCAGGTCAGACCCTACTCTGAAGTTAACTACAGAAACCCAACAATTCCCACCGTGAGCAAGCACTAGGCGACACAGGCAAGGAAAAACTTCCTTTTAACAGGCAGAAACCTTGAGCAGAACCATGGCTCAGGGTGGGCGGGTTTGAACGCCACACAATGCAACTTTTAGAGTAAAAGATCTTTAAGAAGTCAAACCATCCTTTCTAAACAGCGTTCGGTTTTCCATAGATCTTTTTTACCTAAAAACAAAGGTGTGACTGCTTAAGATCTTATCATTTGATGATGATGGTATGTTATTTCTATCAGAAAACAGAAATCTTTGGTATGTCTGTGGAAGTTGTAGATTGTAAATCTGTTTTTTAGGATCAGTTTTGAGGCTATTTTTTCAGAATTTGATAGAACTCGTCTTTTTCTCTGGGAGTTAAACCAATTAATCATCCATTTTAAAGGGTACATGGTTAACATAAAACAGAGGATGATCTGACCAGAACTGCAGAGGCAGGAAGAAGTGACTGACAACTCAACCTGAGTCATCCCAAAATGATTTTTCCTTTTTTTTTTTTTTACATGTAAAATAAAAATGCCTTTGTCTCTTTCGGAGCTGCACACCCACTCAGCCCATCTTTGTTAGTTTTTTATTTTATTTCTATTACCGAAATTACATCACATTTTCCCCTGAGAACACTCAAATTCGCTGAATTTAGTCCAGGATTGTACAAGAAAGCCCAGCTCCCAGCCGCCAGTAGAGCACATCTGTTCAAACATTTAGGCCTTTTCGGAGCCTTTAAAAGGAGATGCACTTTATCCAAGGTGTAGTAGCTAAAGTTAATTAGTTTTAATGCTGAGAACTGTAAGCTATTCCCTACAGTCTTTTTTCTCTCATGGCAAAAAGCGCCCAGTAAAATATGGTAAGTCCCGCTGCCACGGCTGAAAAGGCAGAGTGTGTGCTGCGGTGGGCTCGCTCCAAATATAGCTACAGCCAATTTTATCAGCAGAAGTTGCGACAAACTGAACCGCCGTCTCCCCCGCGAGAGAGCAGCCCGACACCTGGCGAACGCTACATTCAGGAAAGTGGATGGCTTTATGTGATCACATGTAATGTGAAACAGAAATAGAATTAATCGCTTAGGTATAAAAAGCATCAAAAGTTGTACATTATAAACAACATGCCATTTTTAATATTACAATCAGGACATTGTGCAGGACCTGTAGACTGAAGTTGAAGTTGTTGACTCAAGTGTTCAAAAATAGTTGGAAAGTTATTCTGATCCAGTTAAACAGATAATGATTCCATAAATACATCATCCGGACACTCATAGTACCTGCATTATACATTACCCTAGAACTTCCTTAAAGTTTTGTCTCAAATGTCTTATTTCCAAAAGATCGTTGAACAAAGACAAGGAGAAATAGTACTTCTAAACATCTCCCATAACAACGGAAGGTTTATTATGAGAAGATAGTTTCTGGAGAATAAATTAATAAAATTGTCAACACATATATGCCGTTCCACTATTCAAAGATGATAAAGATTTTCATGGTAATGAGCTGAGATCTTTCTCTTTCCCAGATCTTAAAAAAAGCACAAAGAGTGCTCAGATAGCTCCCCCTGCTGTAAGAAGCCCAGAGATGCTGATGAGGCTTCAATTTTGTTTGTTTGGCCATTTAGTTGTAACCTTTTCCTCACATATAAGGCTGAACTTGAATTTACTGACCTGCAGAGCTGCCGTCGACTCCTCACTGGGTAGGGAGTCGATTAATACATCCACATCTTTGGCTGTCCTGGCGATCAGAGCTGCGAACAGCTGGGCGTACTCTGGACAAAGAGGGAGAGACATAACAGTGCAAATGACATCAAAGCTCATTTGATTTTAATAGAGACTGAAAAAGCAACAGAAAGGACAAGTTGTGATAAATACACTCATAGTCATGATTTAGTTCCAGCTTTAATTCAATTAGTTTCATCAGAATATTCTTAATGAAATCATCTGATGGGCTTATTACCTCTCTATCCATCTGTATGTTCTTTCACCTTATTTTTTCAAGATGTACATAAAATACCCGTGTCTTTCTAAATATATAGTTTCTTTTGTTTAATATTTCTTTAATCCGACTGATTGTTTTGTTACTAATTAAAATGTGTATGTGTTTTTCAATCATCTGTCAGTGTTACTAATTAAATCAAGTGCATATATAAAAAAACTCAACGGAAAAACACACCTTCGGTTGGGTTTGCTGGCTGGTCCTTGTTGATAGCCGTCTGGATGTTACTGAACGATGCAGGTGGGGCACATTGTTGCAGAACGCCGATAGCATTACAGAATTGATCAGCCAGCTAGACACACGAAACAAACAGTAAAATATAAGTACATGTAACTACAGGTGTGCTTGCTAATAATGATGCAAACGTCGACTGAGTTGCAGTTAAAAGCACTACAACACCAATAATACTGTACCTATTTAAACGATACAATGCCACAACAAGAAATTATGTCGTAAATGTTCTAAATCCATTTTAAATTGAAGCTGAGATCCAATACATCTGGTCGTTGGCTAATATAGCCAGTTAGCTTTGTTGACTACATTGAGATCTACAATTGCTTGCAGGGGGTTGACTATGGCTCCTATTCACTTGGCTGTAGTGTCTCCACTCATATTACATGACAACAACATTAAAATGACTTTTTTACCTTATTCGCTCAATTGAATTAGTTTAAAACATAAAATGTTTGTCTCACCGAATTGACAGCGTCTTGAAGTTGCGTCAGCCGGTCCGCCATATTTTGTATAATTATCTGAAATCCCACTGTCTTCCTCGCGAGAGTTTGCAATTGAAAGTCTCGCGAAACTGCGAACGTTATTTTAGTTGGTTAGCAGCAGCTAATTTAGTCATCTCACGACTGACTTCAGAACTGAAGGAGAGAGTGCTTAACTAAGTGTGTCAATACCAGCGGATATTTACTTGCGTGCTTAAAGGAACGGAGTTTAATCGGGAGCCTCTAAGAAGGGACCAATGCTAGACTGTGGCTAATATTAGCTACAAAACCTCAACAGGAAGTTGGAGGCTAGCTAAATTAAAAATGTCTTGCACTTTGAACTCTCCAGGTACGACAGGTTGTTCTTTTTCGTCTTTACCTCATTTAAAAGACACTGAACTGTTTTGGATAACTTTCAACAAACGTGTGCTCGTTTCCGTTATAAGGCTATAATGAGATTTGCATGACAGCTTTACTGTCATTAGTAAGCTAATAAGATAGCACAGCCATGTTTGTGTTGTTGAACTAAAGAAAAAGAACTGAATGAGAAAGAAAAACAATGTGCGTCATTGAATAAATTGATTAATATGGGTTATCAGCTTCTAAGGTAATCTTTCTCATAAAGATTGGTTATGTTAGTTTGAGCGAATTTGCCAATACAGTAGTTGCCATCCAATAGATGGTGTGGTGAGAAGGGTCAGGTTAGCAACAAGGTGGAGATAATGTGTTTTTGGAAGTGCACACTGTACACTAACTGACTTGTATCTCCACAGGTATGAACTGTAGTATAGAAAAAGTCCTGGCAGATGCCAAATCATTAGTTGAACGTCTCCGTAACCATGACAATGCAGCTGAGATGTTAATTGAACAGACAACATCTCTCAATAGGCGAGTGGAGTCTATGAAGCAGGTAAGTGGTTGTGCTCATTTGTTGCTGACATAATGTGTTTGGACATGTTTTAAAGGTGTACTTTGTAAGATTTGTATCAAACAAAAGAGTGCTGCATTTCTCAAACTTATTTTGGACTAATGAAAAGCGCTACATGAATTCTTTAAACCCTCAAAGGACATTATTATAGTCTCAATTTACTGAAGGCAGACTCTGATCAATGTAAAACATCTGGGGATGATATAGAGTCTGTACCTTTGGTGGATGTCTAAAATCCGCCTCAGGGATTTTTCTTGGACTCAAAAACAAATCCCAGATATGGAATAGAAGTATAGTTGTAACTAATGTCAAGGCAGTATTAACTTATGAGGGATCATCTAAGAATAAAACAGTGGACGGGATCTTTTTGTTTGTTTGTGAAGAACCGGTGTGCTCATCTCCCCTTGACAGTACCAGGAGGAGATTGATACACTGAACCAGGTTGCACGACACCGGCCTCGGTCCAGTCTTGTCCTGGGAATCCAGCAGGAAAACCGTCAGATCCGAGATCTCCAGCAGGAAAACAAAGGTCAGCAGCTGTCTTTTGACTGTGTTGTTTGGGACCAGTACCAGTCCATTCTTGAGCGGATGTCGATACCTTGGGAGAATATGTATCCCAGGTGCTCTGATTCTCAGTTTTGCCACAGCAACACCTGCTTATACAGAAGCTTTCATTATTTATGGCCCTTCTGTCGTCTAACCTCTGTTACATAACTGGGCTCTTTAAAATTCTTACAGATAACTCAGTGACCCTGGCAGGTTTACGTCTGTATAATGATATAGTTCACTTGTTAGATGGCTCATGTTTTTACAGGTTTCTAACTGCTGCTATGCACTGTGAATGCAGTATTGCTCTGATAACTAGAACAATCCTGCACGCAGGGAATTTGCTTAAGCTCCATTCTCATCTAATCTATTTATGTTCCTAAGGGCTGTGGTATTTTTAACTTGCGTCTTGCAGCTTAACTGCCGCCAAAACAATCGGTGATTGCTTTTTAATTCTCTGATTTCACCACTTTCTCGTCATAGTTTGAGCTCGGACTCCTTATCCATTGCTGATCTGGCTGAACACAGCGGCTCATGCATTGCACTGTGTCTTCCCAGCTGTTAAAAACCAGGTGAAAAGCTGATACGGCTTTAGATTAGACCTCAGATAGTTGAGATAAAAAGAAAAAATCTAAAATGCTATGTATACTGGGCCAGACAGAGTTTCAGTTCAGTGTCTTAGGTTCTTCTTTTCTCTTAGAAACAGGAACTCCTTTTAATTCTTGGTTCCTTTGGTGGACACTTAGGTGTCATCAGATTTTTCATGTAGCCTGTGTGTTTATTTGCATGGAGAGAGGGTAACTGTGATCTGATTACCCAGGTTGAGGGAATATAGTTATTATTATCAGGTTTTATAGTGTTGACGTTCATAAAAGCGGATTTAAAAAAAATCAAAACCAAAACGCGTGTTCACTGTCTCTACAGAGCTGCGGACGTCGTTGGAGGAACACCAGTCGGCGTTGGAGCTCATCATGACCAAATACAGGGAGCAGGTATTTAGGCTCCTCATGACCAGCAAGAGAGACGACCCGGCCATCGTCACCCAGCTGAAGGAGCAGCACACCACGGTCAGCCGTAGAGAAAAACTCCAACAGGGAAAGCGTATTTCAACACAATCCATCCGGTTCACCAGATTTATTTCCTTTCCATATTTTCTTTTTGTTCCTTGTAGGAAATGCAAGCACATATAGACAAAATCAACGAGATGGCCTCTGTGATGAGGAAAGCCATAGAGGTGGACGAGGGGCGGGTATGTGAAGACGAGGAGAGGATTAAACAGTTGGAGGTAAAAGCAGCCACAGAACTCTTCCTGCCCGGAAAGTCCCACACATTCCAGACATTGAGCTTTTTTTTTTTTTCAAAATATGATACAGTGGAGGACAAGAAACCTGTCAGATAGGTTCAAACATATCCACCCGAGAGGTTGTCAGATTCTGTATGTTTTTACACCCCGTCAGTCACCACCATAGGTCTGGGTAACCTGTCCTGATATGTGCCTCTTGGGTTTATTCACAAAACAAAGTGAAATCAGTCTTCTCTATACATAGAAACTGCGCCTAGCCAGTGCTGCAGTAGCTTTTGAAATGAAAAGAACGTCTTTCCTTGGGTCTTCTTTGGAATTCTCTGACTCTGCTGCTGCTTCCCCACCAGATGACAGCAAAGCTTGCTGCACTTTCTATGACAGACTTGCACAAGATTTAACGTCTTGCTCACACTTGGAGTTGTGTTTGGTTTCTCTTTGTAGACAGATTCAGAGTGACAAAGTCCTTCATAATGGCTGGGAACAGTCTTTGACTTATTCCTACTTCTTTTGAAATGAACAGTTTTTATTTTTATTATTCTGACTCTTTTTTTTTTTTTTCAACAAGCAACATTAATCTAGTTTGTCTTAACTTGTTGCTTTTTTTTTTAAAGTACATCCGTTTGCTTTGTGTTTCAGCTGGAGAACAGTGGACTCAGAGAGCTTCTGGGAATCAGTCGCGAGGCTTTTCTGGTCCTGAAGCGAGACGAGCCCTCGGAGAGCACGTCGTTGTCACCACTGCTGACTAGCGCCGATGTTAGCTTACGAAAGAATTAGAGCCTCTTCAGGCGACGTCTCCGAAAGCACGCCGCTCCAGAGCTGCAGTCCTGTCTTGTCCTACCCCCTCCCCAAGCCACCTTGTCATGATTCTGTTTTGTATTTCTGTAATGTTGGCTTGTTTTGCCGGTGTTTGAGAGCCTGTGGTGCCTGTGTGGTTTTAAAGTTTGTATGAGTGAAAGAAGGGGGTTTGCGTTCCAATAAATCTGCCTGCAGAGCTCACCAGGCTTTCACTTCACACTGAAATATCTCTAGTAGTTCGTGCTCCCATTCTGTTCACTTTCACAACTATTGTTGTTTTTGTTTTGCACAGCCAAAAAACGGGAATAGAAACGCACAAAATCATCTCCAAGCATCGGCTACCTCTTTCAGGGGAAGAAGTTAAGCGGTCTCTCCATGAAAGTCCATCAAAAGCTACAAACGTCTGCTAAAAAGCTCTCTGCAATAACTGCATCTCCAGTCACGTGGAAAAAAAACACTATGAAACAATGTATACTTTGCATTTTTAAAGTTTTCTGCAACACGATGCAGTAAAATAAATCTGGACTCTTTATGAAGTGTCTGAAATGCAGCAGAGTAGATGAATAAATATCAGCAAAACATGTATTTAGTTGATATTCACTGTTTTTGTTACCGCCCTTTGAATACAATAGATACAACCAAGTGACAGCCATAGTAATTATTCCACTCTGTATGTGAAAGATGTCATTTGTGGTGACTTAGTGGTTGGGTTGTTTTACCACTTCTGAAGATTTGTCATAAGGAAGGACTCTCCTACCCACAGATGGGTGTGAGTTAGTGTTTACCACTGTTTGGTTTACTCCAAACGTGCTGCTGTGCACTCTGACTAGAGCAACTTTTGGTCTAGTTTGTCTAAAAGAAAAAAAATCCAGAATTCTTCTGATGAAGTTTTACAAACCAAAGCAATGATGCCATGTTATTTTTTTAGAGAGAGCAGGTGTTTTCCTGCAACAGATCCAAACAAGCTGTGCTACTTTAACGGTCAATGTGCTAGGAGGGGCATTTAATTCAACTGGTTAAACAGGTGCTCCGTGTACAGAGGCTGAAGCTTCTTGACACACCTGTCTGGCCACAAAACCGTCCCAAATTCGAATGGGTACCTCCATGAGATCATTATTGTCTTTCCTCCTTTGCAGTGTTTTATTATAGATCTGAATGGTCCAGAGCAGTAAATTGAGCATCAAAAGTTGTTCCGACATTCTGGTTTTCATATTGACCACTGAAGCAAATCTCTAAAGTGCCCCAAAAAATGTCAACAAGTCAATCACGACAAGTCGCAAGAATCAAAGCATCGTTAGTTGTTAGGCTTCGGGGCGAAGATATCGCGAAACTTGGAACGAGATTTTGGAAGGAGCGGCGGGGGCAGAGAAGAAGCTCACGCCGAGGGATGTCACTCGGAGCTCGCGCTGCCGTCCAGCATGTCGCCTCTGTGGCTGCTGGGGCCAAGACTCAGGCGACAGCAAGGTTTCAAATGATTAAGAAACTCAGGAGCTCTTTTATGGGATAAATGAAGCAGAGGAAAATGTCTCACTGGATATGGTGCCTGTTAATGGTGTCGTGCCTTCCTTTGGTGTGCGAAGTTCAAGCGCAAGTGGAAAGTGAGTATTGTGATAAGAGTTAACTCAAGTTATTTTTATAACTTTTTTTTTACTTTGTGCTTTATTTTTTTATTTGTAATTTACCCTCCTGAACCTGTACAATTGATATCTTCAGTGGCCCGCGTTAGGGTAAAGCAGAACAAGGAAGTTAGGGGTAGATTTGATTTATAGAGCACACATTTGAACTTGTGTAGCCACAGCTAGCTAACCAAACATGCCAGTTTCTGACCAGGGAAAGCCAAATGTTCATTTGAATATATACCACCAAACCTACGTAAAATTCACCTGTGTAAATAAATAAAAAGTGAAAATGCTAATTCTTTTACACTTTCAGAACTTTTTCGTGTCTTAATAATTACTATGTTTATGTGTTAACGTTCATTTGAAATAGTAGAGCTGAGGCTCAACAAAATGAAAAGTGTTTGTTGGTTCAAAACTTTTTTATCAGTCTAGTAAATCAGCACTGTGTATGTATGCAAAGAGCATGCAAGATACCATCACATACATGCTTTATGCACACTTTCCTTGTGGCTTCCTAATGCCCTTTTTTCATAATAGAAGACATTTCCATTCAGATATTAGAAAAGTTTCTAAATGCAACTAGTTGCTTACAAGGGCTGCCATTGGCTTTCTGTATGGCACACATCAAATTTAGGTCAATTTGTTCAATCCCGGAGGATCAGATTTGAAAAGGGGGGCCTCCACCAGTTAGTTTTTCATTGTGTTTATCCTCTCAGGAAAAATAAAAAGATCCAGGCAGTAGGTCAGTCCTGAGCTGGATTCTGACCCTTAGCCATGTGCAAACTGCAACACGTTGACCAGAAGTAGCCCTGGTCTGTCTGTTTGCGTTCTTTTTTTCTTCTTCTTCTATTCCCAACAATAACCTGGACAGGATTAAAAATTTGCACTGTCATGGTTGGACATTGAAAGCAGCTGCTAACTTTGAGGACGCGCTCTAATCAAACCTGGCTGATGTGTGATGCCCCCGTGAGGCACTTTGGAGAAGAAATGCAATGTCTAAAGCAAGTGGTGGAGTACCACATGTTTGTCTGATCAGAACCACTGGATCATTGCTCCCGCATGACTTTGAAGTGGTCGTGGTAAAAGGCTCGAGGCCTGTGCTCGCATTTCTCTTCGAAAGGCAAATGATCGGAAAACTCTGTAGTGAATTGATTATTACTGATTTTCACCAAGGGAGGAGACACTTAGGCAGAGAAGCCAGATGATCAGAGGAAATAGCCATGGCTAATCATCGGGTGTTCTGACCAAAACCGATTGAAAACCAGAGGTTATTTTGAATGTCGCAATGGTTGTTTCTTAGATTCTCTTTTTTTGTTGCTTTTCCTTGTATCGAGATGTTTTAAATGAGCAGCTGATGTGTTGAAATCTCCCTAACCTTTGACCAGTTTATGTAATCACGAATCAAGTGTGGAAATACAGCAGCCGCTGGTGTTGTTGAAGTTCTGTTTTAAATTGCGGCAAGTAGATGCACACTAGGGAGGCTTAGCTTTCTCGGCTTGTAGGATCTGATGCAGTGGCATTAATCGATGAGGTGGGGTGAGCTCTGTTCTCCAAACTCTTATACAGCACCAGCGAGAGACACACAAACGCACCACGCTCGGTTTTTGGGGTTAGGCCAAGCCCTCCCTCTGAACCGAGGAGCTAAAGCTCCTTAAAGGTCTTTGTTGACTCCCTAAAAAGCCTTTAAAAAAAGGCTTTCTTGTAAAATGTTTTTGTGGATTGTCCAGTTTGATGAAATCTGCAATCCCTTCAGCTTTTGTTTTGCTGTTAGCTGCCGACCAAATAACCACCAGAGAATCCATTAGAAATAAAGTTTATTCACGGTAACCGTTCTGTTAAGGACAACGTGGGTTTTGAAGAATTTTCCATCACAAGATAAACCAAATGACAACGTCTAAAATCTTATATTTGTTTTCTAACTTTGGACAGTTTTTGTTGGCCTACTAACTAAGACCGAAGGATTTATCTCACAAATTCCGATCAGTGTGACTCAGAGAAACAAGTCTGAGTAGTCTGACTTATTGTGAAAAGTCTGAAGCAGAAGCTTCCTCATCTGGATTTCTACACACAGTGACAGCTTCCATAGCAGCTGAAAACCGTCTGTAGAGTGGAGACATGGCAGGAAGGTCGAAGAGTGGAGGGAGATGGATGTTTAAATATGAGTGAAATGACCCAAGGGACCTGGGTTGGAACCGGGCCTGGGAAAGAGGCGTGTCCACATGAAGGTTTCAGAGTTTTTTTCTTCCATCCTCTGCAAGGATATCGCACTTCCACAGAGGCACATCAGTCCTAGTGATAACTACACGGTACATGGTCCAAAACATGTGGGTTAGATTAGCCCGTCCAGCCCAGGGAGTGCTAAAATTCACCAGCAGAGTCATGTGACAGGTGGAAACAGATGTAACCTGTTTTTTCTTTTTTTCCCCCCCCCCCCCCGTTTCTGTCAGACCGGGTGGTTTTCCTCCCGGGGCTCTTCCAGAACGTGAGCGTGTCGCAGAACGAGACGGTGCAGGCCGTGGTGTCCCGGATCCCGCCGGAGGTGGCCTTCATCACCCTGCAGTTCCACACGCAGCGCCACAACGCCACGCTCTCCTACACCCGGGTGAGCGGGCCGGGGGGGGGGGGGGGCACAGGCAGAGAATCTCCATCAGTGGTCCAAAAAAAAAAAAAAAAGTCGAATCAATTCCCAAGCTGGAAGCTCATGATTACACTCGCTGTATTCCAAACAAATTTTTGCTTTTATACACACAGCACCAAATGAGGTAAAGTGGCTTAATCAAATGCACGTGGGGGGGGGAATGGAGGCCACGCTGAGCTGGAAGTGAGCAACTGAGCATCTCTGCTAAAATATCTGGCCTTTAGTTCACTGAAAGGTCCCAGCTGGGCCTTCCAGAGGGAAAGCAAAGGGGGGGCGGGGGGAGTCCCCCAGGAGGGCAGCGGGACGAGGGCTCGGCGAGGGCCGCCTCGATCCCTCCGCCCCCCCCAACAGC